TTTCTTCATCATCAGCACTAAAGTCAGATAATGGCTCCTTAATCCTGGAACAAACATAAATAACTCTTGGTTAGGCAGTTAAATAAACTGTCACAAAGACACATTATAATTTGAGGATCTGAACATTTCATTTGCTGTTTATATTCTAAAATTTGAATTCCTTTGCAGTTGGCCTGATGGTTTGATACTAATGTGTATGGTACTCTAAAGCAGAAAAATAGCCACAGACGAGCTATTATGAGAGAACAGCCATAAAGAAAATTTGTAGGTTGCCACATGGAAAAGAAGTTAAATTACAATGTAACAAGTAAAAACTTTATTGACGATTACTTCTACTTTATGGTTGTAGAACAGAATAAAGTTACAATGTCTCTTTATTTCTCCAGAAATAAAAAAAAAAGCCTTCCAGCAAGTGAAATGAATATGCCATTTGTAGCAAACAAAAAAGTGTCATAAATAAATTGTCACATTAGACATTTAGCATGAGAAAACAAGCTGAACTATACAGTCAAACAGAGTTTCACAACTTTAGCTCACAGCGTTGTCAAAGAAGTAACACTGAGTAATTCTGTTAATACCGCACCACTCTGTCGCCGACCTTCACCACGCTGTGAGACCCTATTATTACTCTAAGAACCCTTATTTCATCTCAGTGAGGAATGTAGAAACAGATGTATGACTGTGTGTGTGTGTGTGTGTGTGTGTGTGACAGAATGAAGGGGAACACACAGTCATGTGAGGTTAAAATGAGTTTGTTAGACACATGACAATTGTTTGCTGCATTTAGGCAAGAGCTTGTGTAACCCAAAGTTTAACTGGTGACAGTATTACTGATACGAGGGGGCAACAATTTTCTACGAATAAAATCTAAAATCATTATCTTCACACATCCTGTCTTTTCTTATTTTGTGTAGGAAAAGACAAAACAGACACATACCTGAGATATCCCAGTGCTCTGTTCCACTTGTGATCTTTCCGTCCCTCTACTCTGATTCCTGCTTTATTCCTTGCTCGGACTCTCAGTCCTACCAAGGCCTCGGCCAGCCCTGTTTCTTCCCCTTCTTTCTCATCCTTTTCTTCATTTGCTCCTGGCATATCGTCATCTATCCCCTGCCACACCAGCTTCGCCCGATGCTCAGCATTTCTCTCCCCTGACATTCTGAACAGCCTGTGTAGCTGATGCATGTTCAAGCCTGTAAAAATGTTAGAGCATCCAGACTTTCGGCTGCGTCGACTGGAAATGTTCCACTGCATAAGGAGACTTTCCTCACTGGAGCTGGATTCCAGGGAATCTGCCATGTCACACGGTTGGAGAATTTCTGGGTTGTTATATAAGGGCACGAGGATGATGATGTGAACCCAATGTACGGGCACTGCTGAGAGTCTGGAAGATAAGGTAAAAGAGAGAGAATTAAAAGGAGAGAGACTAACCTGGTCAAACTAAGGATAAGGATAAGGATAAGGATAAAGAGATCACGACCACAAGCTTTTATCCAGCAGACAATTTCCATGACTGGTGCCAAAAAACTATTTACCAACACCATCCTTTCCTGTCTGACAAACTCTTATCTCATTACTCATGGGTATTGAGTTAAGTACAGTATGTAGGGAGTTTGTTGGGCACATTACAACTTACACATTGTACAAACTCATGTACTTGCACACATCCATGTGAAAACACTTGGGCAGTTAAATACACTGTCACAAAGACACATTATAATTTGAGGATCTGAACATTTCATTTGCTGTTTATATTCTAAAATTCGAATTCCTTTGCAGTTGGCCTGATGGTTTGATACTAATGTGTATGGTACTCTAAAACAGTCCCCATGTGAGACTGCAAATAGCAAATTTCTCTTACCCGTATATTTTTTCAGTGACTTAACTGGGCCATAAAAAGTCTAATTTTCTAATTGTTTAATTGTATTAAGTAAAACCTGAAAAAGAAAAAAATCTGAGAAGACGAAAACAACAGAATTTTGTATTTTTTTGCTAAATCATGACGACATGTGTTCAAGCCCCCTGTAGGCTTTCAAAAACATGCATGTGTATCTTTAAAAAAAACAAAAACAAAACACCACCTCATGTTTGAAGTGGGTGACTTCAGGTCTTTTTGCTGTTTCAGGATGGTATTTTTAAGATTAGGCTAGCTTTTTGCTTTTTTGCTTTTGTTTTGGCTGATGAGAACTGATAAGGAAATTGGAAGTTTCATAGGCTATTAACAGCCTAATAGTTCTATGCGTCACATTGTTGTGTGACAGCCAGTCTCCATGTCATATCTAAAGCATCAAAAGCCTCAAATCTACATCAAATAATTCTCCATTATCATCTTGACAGTGTATCCCAAATATAACTGTAAACTACAAATGCAATAATAAGGGTGCTTACCTTCAGTCTGAGTGAGACAACTGTATGCACTAGGCCAGTAGACAGACAACCTGATTAATGAACCGGCATCCAAAGTGTAACCTTCACACCGGCTAATGCCCAGCTGACCCACTTCACAGGGGCGCGTCAGTGGCACGCGGTGTCGCAAGGGACGTAAAGGAATAATCAAAGAGTAGGCTAATCCATTAGTGACGTTAATGTTTGTGCGCTCACCTCACAGCAAGAGTCAGCCTGTAGCATTCAAAAAGAAAAACAATAACCAACAGAGCAAACATAAACCCCGCCACATGGATTTGTGCTTTTAATCTCGCACAAATCCATGTGGCGAGATTAAAAACGGGGTTATTTTGTCTTAAAATTCCAAATAGCCGTCTAATTAACCTTACAGGTATCTATGCATGAGAGCTGAACATGAGTGCATTGCTTGAGCATGAGCTTCAGGATCTCCTGAAGAATATTGAATAGATCAAAATGGTCTGAGGCATCATAACTGTCTTATTTGATAAGTTTATTTCAAGCCTCTTTTATGCATTTCTCCCATTTCTTCCGTCAACGAAATTTCAGTGGTACTTCTATCTATACCTTCCGGTTATTAATGAGATTAATAAAGTGAAGTCGTTAATAAAACCCACGCAAAGCAATTTTACCTGTAAAAAAAGTGAGTGTGCCATTATTAACTCATTTTAGACAAGCTGAACTAAAGCTAATACCTCCTACGATTAAAAGCCACTGAAATTACTGCCGTTATCCAGTCTCTGTTCAGACGTTCAACATACCACGTGACCCATTGTTCCTACCATTCTGCAAGAAGCCTGGTGGAAAGGTAGCAATTAGCAATGGCTGGTTTAGAGGTAATGTAAAGTTTTTTATTCATATACTCTCATACGGCCCTGACTTTTTTATTTTATTATTTTATTTTATACCGTGTAGGAGGTTGATTGTAATTTAAATAAAACAGAAATACATCAAACTGGATATGCTTTTAAACACTGATAAAAGGAAGTACTGTGACCGTGGAAGACCCAAACCCTGAATTTAGAGTTTAATGTGATCGTCAACAGGAAAAGGACAGATTTTAAAAGTTAACCATTTACTTAAGATCTCTTTAAAAACTCATAAAACGCCTGGTGGTTATTTCTCTTGCGTGTGACCAGCGTTTCCTTTCAAGACCAAACATGCGTGGGCTTTTTGCTGGATTAAAAGCTGGCCGGGTTCTTATACCCGGGTCAGGTATTCAATAAAGAGCAACTTACATCCATGGCAAACCGCCCAAAGATAAAATAGGCGCTGTCGTAAGTAGACGCTAATTCCATGTCTGAATATGTTACAAATTTTGACTGGTGGTAACTGAAGTAACATGTTGTTGTTCTGCAGCAATCTGCTTTTGTCTTAATGGTGATGGCCATCCTCGGGCCTTCTGGTTGGATTCTTTCCCGCCTAGAGCATTACAAAACCCGTGACTGATGGAGGACGTCCCGGGAGCAGCCGTTACATCTGTGCTTGCCCTTAAAAGAGCATAATTTCAGATATTTCAGTCGTTGCTGAGATAATAAATTTAGGTTTCTCAGTTGTACTTTGTCCTTTTTTTTTCTTTTAACCAACAAAGTGATGCACTTCGCCATTTGGACCACTAGTTGGCACATAAGCAACTGTTGGCGGAAGTAAAACCTCTCACTTTGCTTATAAACGAGCTCCGTCAGTACAAGGGGTCCATTATTGGGAAATCACGTGCTCATCAGGGGTTTTAATATTAAGTCATTGTACAGCGTTAGTGCGTCGTTAAACGCACCATGAAGCCGCAGCTGTTTGGGACCAAAGAGCGACCGTGCGTAACAAACAAAACCAGCGCGGACGCTGCGCTGTCCTTTCAAGAGGAGCTTGTAGCTGCCATACACGGAGCATTTGAAGTGGCCGTGGAGATCGCGGTTCGCGAGGTGAAAAAGCTTGTGGCAGGTCAGGTGACGAGCGACATCTATGAAGAGATGCGACGAGAAAACGAGTCCCTCAAACAAAGGCTGCAGAGAGCCGAAGCTAAGCTGGACTCTGCGCGCAGAGAGGAGAACTGTGGAAGCCCTCTTACTACTAATCAGCTCTTCGGTGCCATAAAGTACACCGATCAACCGCCACACCCCAACTGCAGTCAAATAAGCACAAGTGTTGTGGGCAGTGTGCTCGGCCGCACAGAGGTCAGAGGTGACACTACCCCTGCGGGTCACAGCGGAGCGCATCAGCCTCGTGACAGCCAGGATCAACATTTGAGAAGACCCGACGAGCGCAGATCGCGCGAGGAAGAGAGAATAAATGACGCAGCTTCAGATCCAGAAAATGAGCCGAACGATGGATGCACTAGAGGTACTTGGGAGACTTGTTCTCTTTCATTACTACCCCAGTAATTGCCTCAGCATCCTAGTTATATTTAGACCACGATGTGTGCACAGAAACCAACAGCTAAACTGTTAATGCATGGGGATGAACATTTTTCACACGTTTTGTAGACAAGTGTGAAACCAGTTAACAACAGAATGTGTTACTAGCAGGATTGCTGAAGTGCAAACAGTCACCTTTTTGCAAGATTGCGGCCGATGCAAAGACTTAAACAATATACCTGTTTGTGTGTGAATCCACCAAGTGCAAAGATCAAAAATACACAACACATCATCCAAGAATCATTAAAAGGTCTTTAGCTTGTCTTGATGCGCTCATATAACTTACAAGTGTTTTAAAAATAAAAATAGTGACGTATGCCTCCCAGGTTATGCATTGATGGGATTGCAATATCTTGTTCCAAAAATGTGTATATTCAGCATTAATGGTGTCTTCACAGATGTGCAGGTTACTCATGCTTTGTGCACTAATTTGTTTAATCTAATTGTTTGTCTAATTTGCGCAATTATGATAAGAAGGGCACCTCAGTGTGAACCATATATACAGTTGCTCCAAGATAGTAAGAGCAGTAACAAAATAAACTAAATGAAATAATACCATATGTTACAAATATAACAACATAGCTGTAATTATAATTATCCCAGTATATTACACAAAATTATATATATATATATATATATATATATATATATACACACACACACACACAACTGTGACCACATAATTTCCTCTGCGATTAATAAAGTATTCTGATGCTGGCTTTTGACCTGTGCCCTGATTACGTGCCTGATGGTTTCAGACTAGAGAGAAAAGAGGCTAACGCTGTAATGATTTCCAAACATAAAGTTCTGGATCCTCACATCTGTTTTGAGTTCTGTTTTTAAAGTAACTGTTTTTGGAAACAGAGTTGCAAAGGTACTGTGCTCAAGCTCCATAGAAGGCTGACTTTAAATGGATTTTATGATGTATGGAAAAATTGCCTTAGTTTTCTAATTTAAAAGAAATCATTAAATGCTTGCATCTCTTTATTTGCAGAGGTAACTGAAGAGATTTCTCGCATTTGTATGGTGAAGATCGAACGTATGAACCCAGTATGTCCAAACCAAGCAGCTCAAGATGGCATCTCACCACCACTTCCCAGCATTCTTGGCAAATCCACTCGAGAGCCAGTTACTCAGGTTACTGTAAAGCAGGAGAAGCCAGCAGAGGAAACACATGGTTCCTCTTGCTGTTTGGATTCCTTTAAAGTGGAGGATTTTAGCCTGGAGTGCATATCTGGAGTCCAGTCCAAAATGTTGGAGGAGTGGAAACCAGAAGTGCAGAATATTCAGAGCCAAGATTCAAACTCTCAGCTGTCCAGCGCTGGGCTCGATCAGGGTAAGAGCGAAAACTGCCACAAAGTATTCCCTCCGTTACAACAAATAAGGTTGAAATTAAAATCAGATTTGCAATATCTAACAATGACATACTCAGCTAAAGCGGAAAAGTCTTTGAAACGGCATTCACCTCATGGGAGGGTAAAATGTTTGAGATTCAAGAGGGCTTAAAAAAACCCAGGCCTGTAAACACAGTTAACACACTGCAGAGCCTTCTCTCATAAATTGTTTAGTTTTACAAATGTACTGCACTGACATTTATTCAGATTTAGACATGTGGAATCAACAAGAGTAAATAGACATTTTTCCTTGCAATCAAGTTGCTGAAAGATCATCCAGGGAAATCTTTGTCATTTTTGGATCTGCAGGCCAGTCACATTTGCAGCTAGATTTGATCATTATGGGAAATTATTGTCTGTTGTTTCAGTAATTACTATTAAAACTGGTAGATGGACTATATGCCAACTCACCATGTGCTATTTCACTGGGTGCAAAATGATTAGCTGTTCATTTTACTTAGCATTAACAAGCATTAAAGTTGTGCTTAAATTATATGTATAAGTCCACTTAGAATGTAATTAAAATAGTTTAATCTCAAATGAAGCAACTGTAATGCAAATTAGGTTAATTAATGAGGTATCTTTGAACCATAGATCCAATTATGCCATCACTGAGCCAATCTATAGTATTTCTGAGTACTTGTGTACACATATTTTGTTAAATCCACAGCATAGAAAAATGTTGTTAAAGGTCTTTGACAATAAATATCTTACATTGCTATTGTCTTTTCTGTTTAATCATTTGAATAGGCTGTGAATAACTAAAATACAGACAGACTTGCTTAGTATTTGGTAGAGCTGTGTGATCACACCTCTCTATGTTAGTATCCAGCAGACAAACACAACTATAGCTCTGTGCAAGAGACTGGATCAAAGTGACAAGGAAAAGCTGGTTTAAGCCCTAAACAAATGTCAGGTGCAGAGAGCATGACTTGTAGTGTGAGTTTGGGACCTGTAGTGTCCTGGCTACTTCCAGATAGTGGAAAACATATAAGACTCTTTTCTTCCCACTGCCACAAAAAGGAATGCTAAGGAAACTGAACCAAGTTGGTCCTAAATTCTGAGGGATTGTTGTGAGATTTAGCATTTGTAACTCTCAGGAGATGAAGGGAGCAGACATTTAGCTGATGGAAATAAACCAGAACATGCTTGTCTAATGGTAGAACATGTAGAAGAGGCAGGAACTCTTAGTGCTGCTTCAGAGTCCTGTGCTGCCTGCAGCTTGCCCCGAGTCTGACAAGCATCTACAGGAGTAAGCAGTGCTC